TCCCTCGAAAAATTGCACTCGCGTTTCTGCAAATCCCGATACATCTCATGTTACTTTCATCGTGTTCTCCGTCATCGTCCGGCTTCCCGTCCAGTTAATTATACACGATAATTTGTAATGCTAATCCACAATTATACACTATGTACAACGCCGTGCGTCCGCGTTTCGACCTACTTTATGTAGTGTTGTATTGCTATCGTCGTGTCTCTCCGAGTTATCCGCTATATATACGAGATATACGGGGTGTTCTAACACTGTGTATACATGCGATTGAACGTGTACGGGATGCGCGAAGATTCGGGACATTGAAATGTGTATCGACACACTTGGTGTGTCACGCCCTGAAGATTACATACAATACATCTGGCGACATCCGCGATCGTCGATTAACACATATGGAGAAACCGACGACATTATAATACGACATTATCCGCGTGAACAAATGGAGACGTATGTGTATGCACTAATTAACACGAAATTTAATCAAGATATTCGCGGCTTATTTTTTTTAGATCGAAAGCTAACGTTCGAACCGACATTATAATACGCGTAGAGATCTGAGACCGTCGCAGCGGATTATGTGAATCGCGGCCACTATCCAGCACAATAGAACCGTGTGAAACATTCCGATATTCGACCTTGAAACCCCTGATTTAGGGGGATCTTGGGCGAGACGTTGATTACTGGCGGTAAGAGTCACGATCTCCATAGTTTGAGAGGTCAGGCTATTCGGAACTCCTGGTAATGTCGCTTGACAGATCACTTTTAGGCTGTCCCCGATAAAGTGACGTTGTTCTAGACGCAACGTTAGACCCAATCGTGTCGTAGAGACCACACTTCCGTCTATGTTGCTAGCTCGCAAATCTTTAGTTAAAGCACTGTTCACCTGTTGAATCAATCAAAATTTCAATTCAAAAATGGGTGTAATTTGAAATCGATATCTCGAATCATTTTTATGAAGTAACAGAGGCTATAATTTTCGTGGAAATATTATATATAACAACATTGAATGTTACAAGAATACAAAGAAGAAAGAATTGAATTTTCAATTTCAAATTAATTACGGAATCCTGAAAGAGAAATAGCTAAAGTTTTAGAACATCGTGTATATCAACTTTTTTCAAGCTGTCGTGCTTTTATTGCACAAATTGGATATTTTTGTTAGCATCGCAATTCCGATGCGTTTTCGCGAGTTTATTCTCGAGGAGTTAATTTGCGCCTCGTAGTTCGCTGTATTTGTTGAGAACGTGAACGCGCGGCAAGCGAAATAAAAACGTCCACGCAAAGTGGCTCGACTTGACAAATTGTCGTTAAATAAACCGAGTAGTATCTTCTCGCGAATATGACATACATAGAGCGTATAGCATTGAATAATGGGAGTTATGTGGTTCTATAGTTTGCCGTGGTTGTGTAACAGCCGCGGAAACGAGCTTTTTGAAGATGAATTATGCTTCACCATTAATTATAAACTTTTCTCTTATTTGATATCGGTAAATTATACAGAGATATTCTCTAAAGGTGTCACATAATATTTCAGAGACGACTTTTTGTCGACCAATTTGCAGTAGATAACTTAATAAAAATATTAAATAAGAAATTAACTTTTTAGTTATAAGTTATATCGAAAATAGAAGACTATTTAATCCGCACTCAATTGATAATTGTGAATAAAAAATTAATTTTTATTTAATATAAACAATGTGCAAAGTGCGCAAAAAAATGAAAAATACAACGTCTTTGCATGATATAGAATCTTGAAATGTTGTCGAGCACTAATCGATCGTACTTTGAGTTCATACGGCCTCTCAAAAGTGTAACTGGCGGAATGCACGCACTCGCTCATCGACTCACCTCTTTATCGTTCAAGATGAACGTTAATACTGCCGGGGGGTAACTTAATCCCGATGTGCACTCCGCTTGGAGGATTTCGCCGATCTTATAAGAAGCTCGCATCCCGTCGAGTACCGGAGGACTCTTGGGCGGTATTGCCACGCTCATGTTTGCCTCCCTGTAGTCTGTCTGGAAATTCGGGCCTTCGGACGATACTTCGCAGCCGTAAGATCCCGTCAAGTCGATCTCACCTTTGTTATCAAATCAGAGAAAAAAAGGATTAGATATATAAATTTAAAATTAATAAAGATCTTTTTCTTTTTCTTCTTATAAAAATACTTTTAAGTGAAGCATTATCTTTATATTCAAGAGATGATAAAATAGAATTTTAAGAAACAAATTGTCGATTTTAATTTTTCGAGCTTGTAAACTCTTTGATAATTATGTAATTGAATGATTTTCTATAAAGAAGCAACTAAAGTTACGTAAAGAAGAGTCTTTAATACGAGAGATATTTTGTTATTCGTGCTTGTAAATTAACGTCGCGCACCTTTACGAGTGTACGGACCCAGAAGTGTCACTTGCTTGCTGTCGCTACGACTGAGGTCGACGCGCAAGTCAGTGATATTCTGGACTCGTTTAGGCATGGGTGCTGTTGGCTGGTATCTAAATATTTCTTGACCGTCTTTACTCCACATCACCGAATACAACTCCTTACCGCCGAGGTCGTATTCGCATTTGAGTGACACTTTCTCCCACCTTGGATCGACGATGTTAGGTACATCCAATCTGAGTATCTCCAGTGTGGCACCTATATAACAAAAACGCAAATAATTCGCTTATGCTATGCATCTAATTGTAAGGATGTAATCGATATAATTTAAATTTTGGACTAAATATTAGATTAATTTAGCTACAAGTTGACTTAAATAGATACATGAATATATTAATAAATTTTTGCCAATAGAATTTAATAATTAATAATAATGAAACAAAATACTGATATAATCTTTTTCTTGGTTTATTTCTCAATTTTTTCTTGGGCTAATAAAAAAACTTGACTTATTTATTCTACATATAATGTTACTGTAAAACAATTTCAATTAATTTATCATTTTAAACGCTGAAAATTCGGAAGACTTGGCGAAAATACAATTGGAAAATTTCAGCCACGCGATGAAAATTCTAGGGGGAAATAGCTTTGTAATGATTGACGCGTGCTTTATTTATCGCGCATTCGCAGGACGATCGAGACAAATACGACGCGGTAATTAAAAATATTCTATCGACCGAACGCAGTCGAGTACTCTAAAGTGGGCTGAGATTTAAAGCGGGAATCAATTATTTCGTGACAGCTTCTTCAGATAAATTCATCTCTATCTTTTTTCCGTTTACGATAATAGATGTACAATTTGCAGAATGGTTGCAGAAAAAATTTCAAGCATTAAATTAACACGAAAAGAGTTAAATAACTACGCTATTTGAAATTAATTTAAAAATATTTTTATTGTGTTATTAAATAAATAATAATTTGATTGTAAAAACAGTTTTTATCTATGTGTGTGTGTGTGTTTTTTTGGTATTTTTTATATCAAATCTACAATTATTTTGGTGAAATAGTTATTTTGTGTGTTGCATTTTCATGCACATATATAGACATTCAAATTAAAATTATTGTAATATTCAAAATATCCATCGTGTTATTCGGCATATATCATATGAAATTCTAGATTTATTTATAATATATTATTTACTATTAAAGTGTCTTTCGTATATTGTGACATTATTATCGTTTTAATATTTTATATGACAATTTTATCAATACCAATACAATATAGAAATGTTTTATTTTAAACATTAGATGTATATGTATATAGTTTTATTTTAAGACTATATGATATATTGGCAAAATATTGGAGAACAATTAGAAAAATAAAATCAGTTGTCAGTTAATTGTTATTTTTTCATTTATCTCAACATACATAGAACTACATATATACTTACAACGCATAGCATTTATTGATTTTGACAATATCCAGTTTTACAGTGTGTCGATATTTTATATCATTGTAAATATTTTCACACATGTTTTAAATTAAATAAGCTGATATAGTTGTTAAATAAGCTATAAAATCAACATGTCGAATTAAGACTTTAATATTGAGTAATGCGTTATATTTATTACATATACAATTCTTATTTTCTCTCCTTTCTTTATTGTTACCTCTCTTTGGCAGTTTTCACTGATGTACGAAAACATAAAAGTCTCGTTTTTTCTATGCATATAACTATTTCTTCTTTCAACCGAAAGAGTTTCTGTCTAGTTAGCAAGTAATTTCGTGACGGTTTTGACCATTCGCTTCGCGGAACAATAACGAGTCTTTTTAAATAATTTGTCGGCTTTTCAGAGCTTTGTGTTGCAGTAAGCAGTAGTTAAGCGAGAACACAATAGACCCCTTTGACCCTGTCCTGTTAGTCCGCAGGGCCGGTTAGCTACCCCGGTTGGTTTCGGAGTGCAAACTCCCAGGACGCGAAACCGCGGTTCCCGCGCGTGCCTCTGATACGAAGTACTCACTTTGCATTGAATAAAGTCTACGTATTGGGATACGAATGCTTCTGACGTGCTCTACATACCGAAGACATAAATATTGAATAGTGTGTGTGTCGAATGCACAAACATGCAAAACTGTGCGAATACGTAAATGACAAACAAAAACAAGCACAAATTTAACGCCATTGCATTTAGTGACATGTATAGATGTTGTTTGCAAATGTTATCTATATACATATACATATGTATATGCATATTCTATAAAATCGTAATATAATTATTACATAGATACAGTGCCGGCTTTAGCAACATTGGCGCCCTGGGCAAGATTATCGTGGCGCCCATTCAATTTTCGATATCTTTACTAGCCTGAACGGATATAAACGAATGCACGCATATAAAAATTCAGAAAATTTTCCTTTAGCTTTACCCAGAGCTAACGACGTGGACGTAGAAAGTTTTTGTAGCTCCTTTTTTTTTTGTTTTTTTTATATATTTATATTTTTTTATATTTTTATTTTTTGTATTTTTTTGTATTTTAGATACTTTATTATTTCGGGTTTCTTAGAGGACAAAGCTTAAACTAGAGTTTTTGAGAGATTACGGAAGTTTATTAAAATTACACTTTTCGGGCCTTTTTATCGGCAAACACTCGAATCAAATCGGTGAAATTCAAGTTTGCGGCAATTTCATTTTCAATTGAAAGAGTAGCTAAGTTAGTAAGTCTTGTCTGTGAAATCGTTGATCGTAGATAAGTCTTTATTAACTTAAGTTTCGAAAAACTGCGTTCTCCACTAGCTACCCCAAGTAACACAGTCTGGCTATATTCGCTGCAACAGCAAAAATGTAGCTAGTAAAACGTTCTGCCAGCCTTAATTACATCTATTTGGCTGCAAATGCTATTTTGCTGGATTTTTAACTGTAAAAGCGCTGCGATAGTTAATAAAAGAATCAAAATACAGCCACAGCAATTTTAGCTATATTTATAGCTGTAAAATCATTGTGACTGCTATCGGAAAATCCAAAATGCAGCCACAGTAATTTGAGCTGTATTTATAGCTGTAAAGTCGTTGTGACAGCGATATGAAAATCCAAAATGCAGCTACAGCAATTTTAGCTGTATTTATAGCTGTAAAGTCGCTGTGACAACGATCCGAAAATCCAAAATACAGCCACAGCAATTTGAGCTGTATTTATAGCTGTAAAGTCGTTGTGACAGCGATCTGAAAATCCAAAATGCAGCCACAGCAATTTTAGCTATATTTATAGCTGTAAAGTCGCTGTGACAACGATCCGAAAATCCAAAATGCAGCCACAGCGATTTTAGCTGTATTTATAGCTGTAAAGTCGTTGTGACAGCGATCTGAAAATCCAAAATGCAGCCACAGCAATTTTAGCTGTATTTATAGCTGTAAAGTCGCTGTGACAACGATCCGAAAATCCAAAATGCAGCCACAGCGATTTTAGCTGTATTTATAGCTGTAAAGTCGTTGTGACAGCGATCTGAAAATCCAAAATGCAGTCACAGCAATTTTAACTGTATTTATAGCTGTAATCTGGCTATAATTTGTATGTTATAGCAAAGAGTAACATGACTTTCAATTTTATGTTAAATTTAGTATGTATCAGCGATGGTTAGCGGACCCATGCGTTCACTTATTGCGAATCTAAACTTATTACTTAAGGATAGTATATAATTCTGTAATCACAGTATTTGTATGAATTTGTGTCCGCATTACTAGTATACTTATATGTAAGTTATAAATTGTAATTATTTGCAATAATTAATTAATTTTTTTTAATCTAAGCTTTTGAAGCAAAGGTTTCGGGTTGTCATAAGTTCAATCCCAGTTAAAGCAAAAAAAAAATTTTTAATATTTTTTTAACCTTTTACGGAATGTTAAAATTAAAATTTAACTTTTATTGAATATTAATTATCCATTATTTGTATTGCTTGAATATTAATTATCCGTTATTTGTATTGCTTACTCCGATTGCTGTAATGTAGCTATGACAACGTCTTTACATCAAAATAGCTGTGCAACCGTATGACTGTGACAATGTCTTTACAGCAAAATAGCTGTGCAACCATATGACTGTGATGACGTCTTTACAGCAAAATAGCTGTGCAACCATATAGCTGTGACATCATTTTCAAAGCTTAAAAATGTTGTCCCACTTTTGCTGTTACAACTTTCTCAAAACGTCATAATGATGTTGTCGCAGTAGCTGTGGTAGACAAAAATGCTGCAGTTTAAGCTACGACAACGTTATCGCAGACGTTTTAAAGCTTCATGTGTTACTTGGGCCGTTACAGGTATAGTTACCAAAATGCGCAATGCGATCCATACATTTGGATATAGTTCATAAATATTGCGCTGTTTAATAAAATTTAAAACGAAAATGGGAGTAATATCATCGTCATCTGGAAAAAAATTTTTAAGACTTATGAGTTCATCACACAATAAATAACCATCTATATCGGAATCGGAACCAACAGTAAGTTTTAATTGGAGATCAGTACAGAATTTCAGAAGTTCATTTTTTTCAGGTATCTTTTTTATATTGTACAAAAAGACCATGTTTCTGAATAGTTATGTAACTGTCTGAACCTTTCTTTTATTGACATTAAAGAGACGTCCAACAATTTATTAAAAAATTCAATTTCAAATTTTTTCTCTGGGGATTCGATAGGTTCGTCCGTGGCCATTTCACCAGCCTGGCGTTTTATGCGTCGTACTTTTTTCATTGGTTTAAAAACAGGCTCGATTTGTAGTTCATTCGCCAGATCCCTTGCTGTTGAAAGAGCTTTCTTGAAACCAATTTTTCGGTATTCTTCTAAAAAATTGCAACAGTTTTCCAGCATTTCTGTGCATTTACTGAGGTCCACGGTTTTTGACTGCAGAGATTTATTCACGACATTGATTTGAAAAAGAATGTCGTACCAAACAACTAGGGAAACTATAAAGCCAAAATCTTTTAACTGTTCTGTTAAAGTGATTGCCTCGTGCGAGATAGTAACATCACTTTTCTCAGTTTTGTTAGCCAAAGTAACTAAAGCATGAACGTCACAAATTTGATAGCGGACTGCTTTTACACTGTTTATTTTTGCTTCCCAACGTGTGTCACTCAGTTTTTTCAAACTATAGAGTCCTAAGTGATCGGTTAAGATTTTCCATCGATTAACAGAAGCAGAAAACAGTGTGAACAATCTCTGCAAAACCCCAAACAAAGTAACTGACTTTACCGACGATTTAGCAGCGTCACACAATACGAGATTGTAGCTATGGCAGCCACACGGTACAAAGAAAGCCAAGGGGTTTAAATCTAAGATTCTTTTTTGTACACCAATATTTTTTCCCTTCATGTTTGCTCCATTATCATACCCCTGACCCCTACAATTGTGCAGTTCAAGTCCGTGTTTATTTAGCACATTTAGAATTACTTCAGTAAGTCCTGCGCCACTAGAGTCACCGACAGGAATGAATTCTATGAAATGCTCTTTTATGCTTATATTGTCATCTGATAAGTCAGCAAATCGAATTGTTAAAGAAAGTTGTTCAATATGACTTATATCTGGAGTGCAGTCAGCTATGATAGAATAATATTTAGAGTTTTTGGCTCTCGATACAATTTCAGATTTGACTTTTTCACCCATCAAATCTATTAATTCATTTTGAATATTCTTTCCGCAATAGTGATCCGAAATATCACCCGACATTGCCAACTTCAAATGTTCTTGCATAATCGGATCAAACTTGCCTACTAATTGTACTAGTCCCAAAAACTTTCCATTGTTCGGTGTGTATAATTTGTCTGAGGTTCCTCTGAACGCCATATTATTTTCAGCGAGGTAAAGAACAATATTCATCAACCGAATCAAACATTATTCCACCGTAATGTTTCTCTGCTAATCAATTTTTGTTCTTCACAATCGATCGTTTTTCCTCTCTTCAATCTTATTTCAGCTTCAAACCATTGATGGTAAAATTTCTTATGGAATGTGCTGTTTTCATGCATTTTTAGAATTTCAGACAAATGTTTCCACTTATTATATCCTTCAGACACTAAACTCGATGCTGACTAACTATTGAAAAGCCGACAACAAAAACAAAAAACACGATCTTTAGAAATAGAGTAAACTAACCAACGACGTTGGATTGTTTCATTATTTGCAAGTTTCTTAGAGTAGTGAGAACTTGAGAAATGACGACCGGTTTCATCTTTCGGAAAGTTATCTCGATCAATGTGAATCTGCGTTGGACCCATAGTTATTATATAGTCAATAGTTTTGCTATTCCGAATAGCCAGCCAAGTACCTACATCTGATAAATTAACTGTACCAAGCTCTAATGATGCATTAGTAATTCCTGAAAATGATAATGAGTCATCAGGATTTTGAGGAAGCTCGGATATGGGAGTCAGGTCTGATGAAATTTTACTTTCATTGAAGAGTTCATCAATTCTCGTTTCAGTTATGCCCTGAAGCTCGGTGGAGGGTTCTTTTACTGATGTAGAGGCAGTAGAAAATGAAGCAACACCTTCTAAATTACCTTCATTTTCGTTTCGCTGTTTTGTTTCAATATATTTATCGAGACTCATAAATTTTTTGGCTTGCTGAAACTCTTTTTCTTTTTCAGCCTTGCGTTTTCGGTATTCCGAACCAGATGGTTTTTTTTCACTCTATGGTCGGACATGTTGAAAAAAAATCTTTCTTACTAATTACTGATGCAATTAATCAGTAAAAAAAAAGGAAGCTTAGAGACTTAGAGACTTTTTAGAGGACCGAGCACCGCTTGAGTCCAGAATTCTAGATTCCAGACCGCATGCAAACAAGTAAACAAGTACGGGAGCTGCAACGATCCCCACTACGCGCGCTTTGCAGGTGGTGGGAGCGCCCTACCAATCGTACAAGTATGCGCAAAGCGGTGGAAGGCGCCCGCGTGATGAGGGAGTCGAGCGTCAAGCGTGGCGATGAAGATCCGCACAAAGCGGAGAACGCGATAGCCATGATAAATACAGATGTGAGACAAAAGAATCAAAAGATATACAAAGGTATAGAGAGCATGTCAGGGTTTATAACACAGTGAGGAGATATAGGTACTCTTGCATACTAGGGGGCACTAGAGTCCCTCTAATAAGAGTCGCGACATCTTATTAGAGGGACTCTATGGAGCACCGGGCAGCAGCGCCCCTACAGATCCGGCGCCCCGGGCAGTCGCCCCACTGCGCCCTACCCTAAAGCCGGTACTGCATAGATATAAATTAAAGCGAGCAATTAAAACATACGTCATCGTTAATTTTAGATTAATTGTTTAATTACAGATACAACTTGAAAAGAGGATCAATTGCTAGCATTATTTAATTCGGATCGTTGGAAACAAGAAATTCCACGGTCTAGTTAGAAATTCGGATTCGCACGTCCCTAAAGGTATGTATCATGGCACACAATTAAGCGCGGTCCGTAGTCCTTTTCCGTTCCTCCGTTTGCTCCTCTCGCGGGCCAATTAAACCGGCAATTAGTTTAATAATTAGCGAATTAATTAATATGCCACGCGACAGGCCGGACGGACCGATTCTGAAGACAATGGGCGAGAGAGCCCATTCTCGGGGTCGACGTTCCGTCGAGAGCCACGTTCTCTGATTAAAGACTCCCACGCGTATCAGGGAATCCCGAAGGATCAGAGCGGCGGGATTCCTTTGAAGTTCCGAGGATTGATTTGCCTCGTCGCGGACTCGGATATGGCAGGATACGGGGCTTCCTTATTCGTCGCGTCGCTGATCAAATGTAAAACCGATACTTTGAATTTTATCCCGCATCGTACCCGGCGAGGCTTTAATTTTATCTCCCTTTCTCTTTCCTTTTCTGGTAATAGCTTTAGCATTACACGTTGATCATCACAGATAAACTATTATTTGGCCATTATTTTATTTTATTGTTTTCGTATTAAATTCTATAATTCTAATAAATATAACGTAATAATTTTATTCAACAATTTTTTAATATTTTTTTTATGTATTTTATTCGTGTCGAAGATGGAATTTCTCTCTTTGAATACAAATGAAAAATATTTTAAGTTGATTTTATTTCACAAAAATAAGTATGCATAATATTTTATTCTTTTATATTATTAAATTAAATTTCATAAAATTGACCTTTATACAATACGTCACAATTTTCCAAAGATTGGTCGGGAAAGCTAAAGGCGGCTTCGAAGAAAGAAGTGGCGTATTTATTATAAATAATTTATGATTTGAAATATCATTTATATATTTCCCGTATGATATTATTTTCCAGTACGCGCGTTCACAGCTGTGCGGTCTTACAATTCAGGCTTACAAACGCAACAGATTCCGATGCATAGAACGCGACCAAGTTTTCCTTATTCATTGCACGGTTGATCAAATGCAAAGCCAATACTTCGACTTCCATTCCATTCCGCGCGTTTTACACCGCAACGAGTAAAAACTTTCAACGATTCATCTTTCCCCGTTCCTTCGTCCTTCGCGAGTAATAGCAAAAATACGATTCTCACCGTTATTCTGTCTTTTATATTTCACAATAGTTCATCGATAATGTCTCATAAACTTTAAAAAAAAATTTATTTCTAGAAGTAGCAGCAGAAAGATAGAACAATAAGAATATATTTCTCGTAATAAAAGAAAGAGTATATAAACAATATATAAATATATATTGTAATACAATGTATAAACAATATATAATTATATGTTGTATTAAAATATATAAACAATATATATGATTATTTTATACAGAGCGTTCGTAAAGTTCATCTTTACTTATAAGGAAGAGAATGAAGTGGTTGAAACTGTGCACTTTTTTATCCATCTTTTTCTACATATGAATCTTGAAAGCTACACATTTTTTCCCGCGATACAAGATCTGTCGGATACAATTATTGTAAAAATCAACACATTGTCTTTTAAAAAATGTGTTAGAAAATTTAAATAGTTTATTAATGTATATAAAAATTATTTTTAGAAATTTTATTAATTTTTAGTAAAATTTCAATAACATTTTTTAAAAAGACGTATCAATTTTTCCAATGATTGTATCCGACAGATCGCTGGGAATAATGTGTAACTTTCAGGATTCATATGTAGAAAAAGATTGATAAAAAAAAATGTGCACAGTTATAACCACTTCATTCTCCTCTTTATAGTCACAAACATATAGGTATACGAATTTTATGAATAACGCTCTACGTTTACATACCTATAAATACAATATAATAATTGAAATAATTGAAATATCGTTTTCGCATATAGGATATCCGTATAACGCCGCAATATTTCAAATGTCGAAAATAAATAGCTTGGTGCAATAACCGGTGCATTAGTCACGCCGGACGCGTTATTGTTCGTATGCCTTTGTGCCTTTCGTTTTTCTCCGGTCGCGGGACACCGGCTGCATTTCTGGCTGTCGCGAGCAACAGTTTCCGGAGCTCAGTGTATACAAGCTTTCCGATTCGCGCGGTAAACGCGACAAACCGTCGCGGCGGTCGGCCGCGCGTTAATCGCGTTATTTGCCCGCTAATTAAGCGCGCGCGCGATAAATTTGGCGCGACGGCGGAGCTCGGCGGCGCGTTTATTTGCTCGTTCGCCAACGTCGACACGTCGATACGCTTTGCTCGCAATTCTTTTTGCCGTATACACACAAAGAGCGAAAGAGGGAGAGAGAGAGAGAGTGACCGACGATTGCATTTCTACATATATGCGCGCGTTTCTCGTTATATCTCTCTGCGTGCTTCATCCCTCTCGTTCTCAGTGGAAAAACAGGCACTATTACACGGCCGAGGGAGTTGGGGGAATAAATTTCTGGTTAAACGAACTTATGTGTGCGTCGCGATTTATGAAAACTCTCCGGGGCGCGCCAGGTTTTACCCCGCGGCGCAGTAAAACACTCAATTTTGGGAAATTTCTTGCGCGATGTTAACAGCAGGTGCATCCGCTGCGAATTAATTCAGGCTTTCCCGTTTTGTTCGATTCGAAATGATTCATTTTAATGAGAACTATTTATTTGCGCGAGAGATGAAATAGTGGTATAAATTTTCGAGCTCGCAAATTCGAATCATTCATTCTTTCGCACATATACATAAAGGAGAGACAATTGATTTTATTGAACTCTAAGATACACGCCAGCAATTTAAATCATTGCTGATATTCTTAACTTTGGAAGCATTTATTACGTTATCAGTAATATTGATCGGCATGAATTAAACGGATTTTAACAAATATTTTTACACTATATAATATTGTTTGATAGTGAAATTGATATAGAGATGCATTCAAATTGACAGAATGTGAAAAATTTACATGGTATGAACATGGAATGTAAAATAAAACCGCGATACGAGTTATCGTTAATTGCTTGCATTTAATTTCGATTGTTCGTTTATTCATGAAAATCGATCATTCGTTGCACTTTTAATTAGCACCATACACAATCAGTGACTGCGGGAGGGAAGATGACCGCGATATAAAATTTAAAAATAACACGGCATTCGTTTCGTAATTACCATACATATTCAATTATTATACCGCAATTAGTAATTCTTTTTCAATTTTGTTTTCTATTCGGATTAAACGTAAGGATTTTTAAATATAATATATTGTTATTATTTTTCATGAAATAATTTAAATTATTTCAACAGAACGTAATTATGTTGTTTTCATGAAGATTTTTGTATTATAAATTACAAATGTATTGCATTAAATTATATCGCATAAATTGTGCGAGAAAACAAATGTGTAAGGAGATTAAAATCTATCTGTATTAATACATACATAATACAGAGATATACACACGGAGATTAATAA